GCTTGTATGATTCATTTTACTTTCCAGTATGTACTGAAGACAAGAAACCGTGGTTATATAGACCCTAAAGGTGTCGGGCTCATATATATATATATATATACATACATATGACATATACATATGGGTGGATCGACGCGACGGTGCATGCATGCATACATTGATACATCATTGCGTTACATACAATTATACACCCCACAAGTATATCACAGTCCAATACAATACATTGCACTGTATTACATTGCATTACATGGCAGGACATTACATTACACCTGCCCAACAGCCTGAAGGGGTGTACAGGAACCATGAGCGGATTTGGGCCAGGCCGCCAATCGGCGTAACCGAAGCGCGAGCCTTCAGAGAGGAGTTTGAAGGACTTCTGGGGACCGGAGATTTCGGGGGAGCGAAGACGAAACCTGCGGGACCTTCGGGTGCACTTATTCAACCAATGCTGGGTGTCGACCTTAATGGTGTGGTTTGAGCTTGAGAGGTTGCCGTTCGGGATCCAAATATGCTGAATGCCTCATCCTCAAAACCGACCCACATAATGAATTACTTGTTACTTGTACTACGCCTACTCCCAGAACACAAACCCAACATTCGACCTCCTAGGCCATAAACCCTAAGGATCCTGGAAGCGCTCATAGCCCCCCCTCCGCATCCGGGCTCCACCTTGATCGCCTCGCAGCCCAGGCTGCAGACTTTCACAGGTTCGGCTGCGGGACCAAGCCTTGATTCCGAGTGCAGTTAAGGGCTCGCAACAGCTTTGCATACTCGGTCGGGTATCACACGTCTTTTGTAGGGCTTTAAAGGTCTTATATGGATTCTTATTGGCTTGCTTTCAACGTAATGCGGCTTCAGGCTGTAGGGTCCTTACACCGTCAAAATTCACAGCTGCTGCTCTTAGTGGGCTTGTAGGGCTCTCGGATTCCAGAAATACACGTTTGTGCGTTAAGGACTCAAGTGCCAAACCTGTGAACCCGTGGCTCTTTGGTGTTTGTTTGCCCTTCCTCTGCCTGGAATCACAGGGGCGGTGCTAAGGTCTGCGGTTGTCTGGGTTGTTGCGATAAGCTCCTTGCCGTCTGGCCTGGTCCCGGCCTATGCAAAGCGCGCAGCGCCGGTGAATGTGATTTCGCAGTCGACCTCTTCGTGACGAAGCTTGCTGGCTGCGGGGTATTCATCCCCAAGCTGTTGGCTGGCGGGGTATCCAGCCCCCGTACGAATCGAGTCCGCACGTCGAGTCAGTTCGCCGTGTTGTCGTGTCGCATCGCGTCCTGTCGTTTCGCGGTTTGAACCTCAAGCCGTCAGGCCGGAAATAATACCGCCCTTGACGCGATTTCGGTCTTGGTCGCTACTCAACTCCACTTCATGCAAGCGAAAAACGGTCCAGAGGTTGCGGAGTGCATCGCTAACTGAAGTCTGAGGGAAATATCGATGCAGGGTGTGAGGCTTCTGGGGCCTGGGGCTTGACGAACTTAAGCGAAGAATGCACAGACCCCAACCCCTGCATAGCCCTCGCGATTTCCATGTCGGAAAACACTCAGAACCGGACCTGAAACTCGCTACCTCAAGCCCCATCAACTAGAACAGCTTCAGGACACCATGGTGCAATCAAACCTGGGCTAGATTTCAGCGTACAGCTGCTGTTTACAATGATGGGCTGCTGTTGTTGTTGTTGTTGTTCTTGTTCTTGTTCTTGTTCTTGTTCTTGTTCTTGTTGCTGTCGCCGTCTGTCTCTAAGGTTAGCAGACAAGGTTGGGTCTATGCTGCCCAAGCGGCATGTCGCTTTCCAGCTCAGAAGCCATTGCTAAAAGAAGGTTGGCCGCTGTTCAGGCTGGGTGGGGCTCAGAATTTAGCGCTGGGCTGTGCGCAGAATCCGTATGAAAAGTTGAGGCACGTGGCCACAGTGTGGCCCCTGTGGCCTGGCCCGAGAAAGCCCGAACAGCAGCTGCCTCCTAGGCTCCTGTGCTCGCGAAGGATGCTACGCGAATTTCTTATGCGTCATCCCACACCCAATGCACTGGTAGTCCTACGAACCCGGCAGAGATTACTTTCGGGGCGCTGCGAAACCGCAACAGGACATCTCGTTTCTGTCGATACATAGCCGAGGCCGTTTAGACTGAGAAAGCTCCGAGGGAAGGAAGAAGAACACCGCTGCGCCAAAGGTCTTGAGTTCCCTGATTCCTTGCTGCCAGTTGTTCAGGCGCGTTGTGCAACCGCCTGTCATACCAATCTATTGCTCTATCTACTCTTTGCAGGATTTCTTCATACACAAGCAGATAGATGCAGAGTTGTGGGTCTTGTCTGAGGTGAAGGGGATAGTTGTAGAGGAATTTAGGAAACAGGGTTTGGCTCGACAGTTTTGCGACCGATCTTATTGTCATCCTTGCGCGTGGAATTCCAGCGTAGGATGCACAGCTTGACCCTCTATAGAGAAACTCAACTTGAAACCTGACGCCCAAAACAAAAAAACTGGGTTGAACCGCCGGAAGCAACCCGCGCGAGCTGGAAAAAGAGTGCAATGGTGAAATGTGAACTGGAAACGCCGCACGAGGTCGTTTCCCGCTCGATGTGAGGTTGGATCACTTGCAGGAGAAGGCTATGTGGGGCCACGCGGGGTCTCGCGGGTTCTCGTCTCGGGCCACTAGGATCGGTCTAGTATCCTTACAGCTGTGATAACCCTTAAACTAGATCAGCAAACCAAGTGTGTAACAGGGTGTGGGGTCCGAAGCCATATAGACCTGAACCCTGACACCCTGCTTGCCTTAAGTGGGATGTCACCTCGGACTGGCAGCAGTCGGTCGGTCTTCGACCACCGCAAAACCGTTTTCCGCAGAATCCCACCAAGCTTAAGCTAATGTGGAGGCCTTAACATTCAGAGTAGCGCTCCCGCAAATATCATCGCAAATCTGTGCTGGGATTATCAAGGGATGTGGATACATGATTGCTAGTTGGAGGGTTGCTGGTGGACTTCGGGCCTCACGGCAGCATGCATAGACTGCCGAGCTTCTGTCTGAGCGAATTCGAAGCCATGTTTCTCTGGGAGCCTGGGAGCCCGAACTGGGAAATTCACAAAACCTCAACCCCTCCGTTGCACTGCGCTGGGATTCTACGCAGGCCTTCTGAGCGCACGCCTTTGGCGTGGCCCAGCACAGGCGATGATGAACATTTCGTGGAGAGATAGGGACAGGGTAGGGTTGAGGCTTCAGGGCCGAGGGTGCTGCGAGCCCCAAGGATTTAACTGTACTCCGATAGAGGGTTTTGTGGCTTCAAAATCCGGGATCAGAGGCTTCTCAAGGTTTGTGCGTGATGACTGGAAGGTGGACAGCCCCTGCACCTTCGAGCCGAGATGTGATTTATGTCGTAGACCTGTGGCGGCCATCATCAAGTTTGATAGCATGATAGCAGCAAGCCGGCTAAATATGAGATCCTCAAGCAGACGAGCGAGAACACCTGCGCCCATGGACACGCACGCACAACAACACAAACAGTAGGTCCCATTTCTCTTTGTGTTTTATAATAATAATTTAATAATAGTAATAGTAGTAGTAGTAGTAGTAGTAGTAGTAAAAATAGAAATAGAAATGGATGTAAAAATAGTAGCAATAGTAGCAATCGCAGTAGTAGAAGAAAAGTAGTTGTAGAAGAAGAAGTAGTAGTAGTACTAGTAGTAGTAGTAGTAGTAGTAGTAGCAGTAGCAGTAGCAGTAGCAGTAGTAGTAGTAGCAGTACTAGTATAAGTAGTAAACGTAGTAGTAGTAGTAGTAGTAGTAGTAGTAGTAGTAGTAGTGGTAGTGGTAGTCGTAGTCGTAGTCGTAGTAGTAGTAGTAGTAGTAGTAGTAGCAGCAGTAAACAGTAGTAACAGTAGTTGTTGTGGCAGTTGTAGGAGAGGCGGTAGTAGTAGCAGTAGTA